GGTGGTTGTTGTTGTTTTTTTTTTTTGAGATGGAGTCTCGCTCTGTTGCTAGGCTGGCAAGCGCTGGACGTGCAGTGGCGTGTGATCTCGGCTCACTGCATCTTCTGCCTTCCAGAGGTTCAAGCGATTCTCCTGCCTCAGCCTCCCAAGTAGCTGGGACCAGGTGCGCGTCAACACGCCCGCTAATTGGGCAGGAGAATTGCTTGAACCCAGGAGGTGGAGGTTGCAGTGAGCTGAGATTTCACCACTGCACTCCAGCCTGGGCAACAGAGCGAGACTCCATCTCAAACACAAAAAGAAAAAAGAGTTTCTGAGTGCTGTGTAAGTGTCCTACAACTGCTGTTTAGTGATTTAAAAGGTCTTGCTCGGCTGGGCACAGTGGCTTATACCTGTAATCCCAGCACTTTGGGAGGCCGAGGCAGGTGGATCACCTGAAGTCACGAGTTTGAGACCAGCCTGGCCAACGTAGTGAAACCCTGTATCTACTAAAAATGTAAAACAGCCGGGCGTGGTGATGGGCGCTTGTAATCCCAGCTACTCGGGAGGCTGAGGCAGGAGACTCTTAAACCCAGGAGGCAGAGGTTGCAGTGAGTAGAGATTGCACCACTGCACTCCAGCCTGGGTGACAAAGTGAGACTCTTGTCTCAAAAATAAATAAATAAAAGGTCTTGCTCAATGGGCAATGATGGGGGTATCCCTAGCACAGTGGCTGAAAAGAAGAAGCTTCACCTCCCACAGCTCAGTAGGAAGCATCCCCAGCAGAGGGTGCCCCTGCACATCCTTTGATGAAGGGTTGCCCTTTACCATTGTCCTTCAGGAGGATCCCCTGCCACTGGCTTTCTTTGTCCACGATGCTGAGATCGTCTCCTCACTGGGGAAGACGTTGGAGTCCCAGGCAGTGGAGACTGAGAAGGTCCTAGACATCATCTACCAGCCACAGGCTGTCTTCAGAGTCCGGGCCGTGACTCGCTGCACCAGCTCCTTGGATGGTCACAGTGAGGCAGTCATTTCTGTGGCCTTCAGCCCCACGGGAAAGTAAGGACAGCTGCAGACTCATGGAGGGGGTATGTGGGGGTGCAGCCTCTGCCTGGTGTGGGGAGGGTCCCCCAGAGTTGTAACTGATGGGGCCTAAGGGCTGCTTACCATTGACCCAAGCTCTGGACTCAGCTTGCCATTAAGGGACTTCCTCAGTAGGGCATGGTCCCCAAAGTCTAAGGACCCCTTCCTTGGACAAACCTTTCCTGGACTTGATTTCTCAAGATCTGAGCTGTGTGACTTGTATAAATCACTTAACCTTTCTGAGTTAATTTTTCATCTGTGAAACCGGGATTAGTTGCTTATCTCAAACTTAGGAAGGCAATGAGAACTTCAAAAGCTGGTTATAGCTGTGGAGAGGACAGAAATGGCCTCCTGGGGTATTCTCCCAAAGGGCGGCATCATTATTGTCTTTCTCCTTTTCAGGGTCGAGGAAAGAGTCCAGTTCCATATTCTGTTCACAGAAAGTGATTGAATAGGTGGCAGGAATGCACATATGCAGTATCAAGCATCCTCTGTTCTTCCCCCAGGTACCTGGCCAGTGGCTCTGGTGACACCACCGTGCGTTTCTGGGATCTCAGCACAGAGACACCACATTTCACATGCAAGGGTCAGTATGCAATTAGCCATTTAGGGGATCTTCTTTTTTTTTTGAGACAGGGTCTTGCTCTGTCAACCAGGATGGAGTACAGTGGTGCAGTCATAGCTAACTTGAACTCCTGGGCTCAAGCTTCGAACTCCTGGGCTCAAGCAGTCCCCCTACTTCAGGCTCCAGAGTAGCTGGGACGACAGGCACTTGCCACCACACCTGCCTCGTTTTTTGTTTTCATAGAGATGAGGGTCTCACTTTGCAGATTACAACCCCTTAATATCCAGTTGATGGCTGTCTGTTCCTAGGTAGAGATCACGTCCTTGAGCGCAGCCAGCCACTTAGACACAAGCAGAAACTGCACCAAGGAGTCGATATGGGACGTGGGGAAAGGCTGACTAACTGGTAGCAATGAGAACCTAATTTAAATCCTGCCTCTGCCACAGTGGTTTTCAAACTTGAGCACAAATCAGAATCGCCTCACCTTAGGGGCTTGTTAAAATACAGATTGCTGGCCGGGCACAGTGGCTCACGCCTGTAATCCCAGCACTTTGGGAGGCTGAGTCGTGCAGATGACAAGGTCAGGAGATTGAGACCATCCTGGCTAACACGGTGAAACGCTGTCTCTACTAAAAATACAAAAAATTAGCCGGATGTGGTGTTGGGCGCCTGTAGTCCCAGCTACTTGGGAGGCTGAGGCAGAATGTCGTAATCCTGGGAGGCGGAGTTTGCAGTGAGCCGAGATGGCGCCAGTGCACTGCAGCCTGGGTGAGAGTGTGAGACTCCGTCTCAAAAAAACAAAAAATACAGATTGCTGGCCAGGCGTGGTGGCTCATATCTGTAATCCCAGCACTTTGCCAAGGCAGGCAGATCACTTGAGCTCAGGAGTTCGAGACCAGCCTGACAGTGAAACCCCATTTCTACTAAAACTACAAAAATTAGCCGGGCATGGTGGCATGTGCTTGTAATCCCAGCTACTCGGGAGGCTGAGGCAGAAGAATTGCTTGAATCTAGGAGGTGGAGGTTGCAGTGAGCCGAGATGACACCACTGCACACCAGCCTGGGCGACAGAGTGTGACTCCGTTAAAAAAAAAAAAATACAGATTGCCGGGTCCCACCCCCAGAGTTTTGGTTCTACTGGGCCTGGGTTAGGGCCTGGGAATTTGTGTCTCTAACAAGTTCCCAGGAGATGCTGATAATGCTGCTCTCGGGACCACACTTGAAGAACCACTGCTATACTGCAGATTGGTTGAGTGAACTTGTGTGTGTAGGGCATGTTCCCTTTCTAAGCTTCAGTCTTCTGGTCTGGAAAATGGGGATGATACTTCTTGCTTTGCTCCATACCTTAGAACCCTTGTGAGAATAACAAGGGATGACATGTACGAAAACACTTCATAGTATGTGTCACATAAGGAATCATTAGAGAGTGATGGTGTTATCCATGCAGCAAGATGCAGAGCTCTAACACTTGGGTTGCATTCTCTCCATCCCCGGAAAGCCTCATCGCTCCTTTTGTTCGATCATTCATTTATTCAAATGACTAAGGAGTACCTGGCACCTGCCAGGCACTGCTGGGCACTGGGAATAAAGACAGATGTAGTCCCTTATTTCTCCCTTCTCTGCTTTCTTAGGACACAGACACTGGGTCCTTAGTATATCGTGGTCTCCAGATGGCAAGAAGCTGGCCTCAGGCTGCAAGAATGGCCAGGTAGGTGGTGCTCAGGTTAACTAGGCAGAGACTCAAGGGCGCCTTCCCTAGGGGACAGTTCAGAATCAGGTTCAGGAGTCTTCGGGGAGGGTTGGGTGGGAAGTGGTAGGCAGGGATTTTTGGTGGAGCCAGAGACCTGTTGGGGAGGATTATTCAGTGAACTTCTATCCTTCAGATTCTCCTCTGGGACCCAAGCACAGGGAAGCAGGTGGGCAGGACCCTCGCTGGCCACGGCAAGTGGATCACAGGCCTGAGCTGGGAGCCCCTCCATGCGTAAGTGACACTGATGGAGCTGGGACAAATGAGTCAGGGGATCAGAGACATCCCCTTTCCCTGCCCAATGCATAGAAGTTTTACGTGAGGGGACGAGATGGGCATGAGCTGAATGACCATGATGGCTTGTCAGGCATGGGAGAAGGGTATTCCAGGTGCGGACCTGCGTTGCTGCTTGGGAGAGGCTGCTCATCACAGGATCTGCTCGTTGCAACCACCTTGCAGTGCAGCCAGGTCTTGGTGTCAGAAAGCTGTCAAGAGATTGTCCATGGCCTTTGAGTTGGGAATGGGGAGGTGCCATGGGCAGACAGATGTTGCCAGGTCACAGATGAGGTCACATCTCCCTTCTCTGCAGGAACCCTGAGTGCCGCTATGTGGCCAGCAGCTCCAAGGATGGCAGTGTGCGGATCTGGGACACAACTGCAGGCCGCTGCGAGCGCATCCTCACCGGGCACACCCAGTCGGTCACCTGTCTCCGGTGGGGAGGGGACGGGCTTCTCTACTCTGCCTCCCAGGACCGCACCATCAAAGTCTGGAGGGCTCATGACGTAAGCACTGGGAGGGTTCAGTAACCAGTCCAGAAAATCTCACATCACAAGATGCTGGCACTCAGAACAACCTTGACATCTGCGAGTCCAGTGTTTCCCAGATGTGTGCTGGCAGCCCTGGTCAAGGGAGGTGTTTTGGGAATGAGGAGTTCTGTGGTTGGTGCTGCACCATAGTGGAGATTGCAGAGTCCCTATGAGATCGTCCCACTCCGGAAATTCCTCCTGTAGGACACCTGTTGAGCTTTGTCAGATCTACCATATCCCAAACGTATTGGACTGGAGCTGTTTACTCTGACATACCTAACTCCTCTTCCGTGAAACATTTTCATGATCTGGACTCCATTTTACAAGTGGGGACAGACTTGACCCCAGAGGGGTGGTTTGATTAAGATCACAATGCATGAGTGAAGATGATTCTTAGTCCTGTACCACCCATCTCCTGGGGCTAATCTCCCAGGGATGGGGAGGAGTGTGTGTGTCTGACCTGACTCGCTCTGCCTTAGGGTGTGCTGTGCCGGACTCTGCAAGGCCACGGCCACTGGGTGAACACCATGGCCCTCAGCACTGACTATGCCCTGCGCACCGGGGCCTTTGAACCTGCTGAGGCCTCAGTTAATGCCCAAGACCTCCAAGGATCCTGTGAGTGATTGGGAGAAGGAAGAGCTGGGGCTGCTTGGGAAGGAGCCAGTTCTCTAGCTTAATGGGGAGTGTTTGCTCTTTGTATCAGATTTTCTAATCAGCCTTCTTCCTCATCTCCTCTTCTCCGCTCTGGTACCTGGACACAGTGCAGGAGTTGAAGGAGAGGGCTCTGAGCCGATACAACCTCGTGCGGGTGAGTGTGTGCCAGCCACATGCACCCCCAGCTCTACCAGTCCTTAGCCAATCACTAAAACCCTCTCAGACCCTTCTCCCTTTTAGACCCAGCTCAGAATGTACCTGTTCCAAAAAGTTGTTCTTCATAATCCTAGTTTGCAGTCCTAAAATATTAATGTGCTAGAGATCATTTTATTTCATTTTTTGTTTAGTTTATTTGCTTACCTATTTATTATATTTCCAACATGCTTCTTTTTTATTTTAGTTTATTGTTTTATTTAAGATTGTTTACACATTCACGTTCAAAAAATACAAAAAGGTAGATCACGGAGTCTCCCATCTCTATTGTAGCATCCAGTGCTACCAATATCCTGAATCACCTTCCAGAGATTTAATATACACACATACACGTGTCTATATACAGTATATATGTATAAGCACACACACATACGTACATACATAAAATCCTACTCCTTTTAACACATTATTTTGTGCCTTGCTTTTTCTGTAATTGTGTATCCTAAAAATATTTTTCTACATGCATGTAGAGTTTCTTTTGCCTTTTGGATGAAGTGACTTGCCTGGGATCACGTGCGAGTGAATGGCCAACCCAGTCCTCATTGCTTCTAGTGCTGGCCTCTCTCTGTCCCTGGCATTGAGTAATCAGGATGTATGTTTGCTGCCAAAGTCGGGCCCTCCTTCTTTCTGAGACCACACCCAACACAGTGTGCTTTCTGCCTCCCCTAGGGCCACGGTCCAGAGAGGCTGGTGTCTGGCTCAGATGACTTCACCTTATTCCTGTGGTCCCCAGCAGAGGACAAAAAGCCTCTCACTCGGATGACAGGACACCAAGCTCTCATCAACCAGGTGCTCTTCTCTCCTGACTCCCGCATCGTGGCTAGTGCCTCCTTCGACAAGTCCATCAAGCTGTGGGATGGCAGGATGGGCAAGTGAGTGGGGGTGGGTACTGCCCCTCTGTAAGGAGTGAATAGTGGGAGTGGCTTGGCACTGCCACTTACTAGCTGTGTGGCCTTGGCAGGTATTTGGATTTTCTAAGCCACTGTTTCCTCTTTGGTAATATGCAGACCCCCTACCTCTCAGCTTTGTTACAAGGGTTTGTTTGTTTGTTTTAGAGATGAGTTTCACTCTCGCCTGGTGTTCAAGTGGCTGGAGTGCAGTGGCACGATCTTGGCTCATTACAACCTCTGCTTTCTGGGTTCAAGTGATTCTCCTGCCTCAGCCTCCCAAGTAGCTGGGATTACAGGCCTCTGCCACCGTGCCTGGCTAATTTTTGTATTTTCAGTTGAGACGGGGTTTCACCATGTTGACCAGGCTGGTCTTGAACTCCTGGGCTCAAGTGATCCAAATGCTTTGGCCTCCCAAAGTGCTGGGATTACAGGTGTAAGCCACCACGCCTGGCCTAGTTACAAGGATTTAATGAGACAGTATGTTTAGGACCCACACTAAATGGTCACTAAAAATGCTAGTTCAGGCCAGGTGCGGTGGCTCATGCTTGTAATCCCAGGACTTTGGGAGGCCGAGGCAGGCGGATCACCTGAGTTCAGGAGTTTGAGACCAGGCTGACCAACATGGCAAAACCCTATCTCTACTAAAATACAAAAATTAACCAGGCGTGGTGGTACATTCCTATAATCCCAGCTACCCCTGAGGCTGAGGCAGGAGAATCGTTTGAACCTGGGACACGGAGGTTGCAGTCAGCCGAGATCACACCACTGCACTCCAGCCTGGGCAACAGAGTGAGACTCTGTCTCAAGAAAAAGCTAGTTTATGTCTTAGGAGAGAAGTGATCTTAGAGCTAGCTGAAGTGGTAGGGCTGTAGCCCTGGAGAAGGTGAAGTGGTGGTAGGTAGGCTTGTGGTACAAATGTTACTTGGACCTCCTCAAAGTGTGGGCCACAGACCAGTGGCATCAGCATCACATGGGAGCTTGATAGAAATGCAGAGTCCTGGCCCCCACTCAGACCCTGTGGATCTGATTCTTCATTTTAATAAAGTTACCAGGTGACTCTGCTACGCATTCTAGTGTGGGAACCCTTGGTGTGATGAAGCACAATGCCCTTGGGGTTAATCAGATCAGAGGAGAGGCAAAGGCAGAGGCAAGGGGAGAAAAAGAGCCAGGAATACCTTGTTGGGGTTGAAGGGGGACCTCTGCATCAGTCACTGTGTTTTCACACAGCAACCCTTTAACATAGGTAATTGGGTTCCTTTTTAAAATAAGGAAACTGAGTCTCAGAGAGGCCTGATGGTTTGTCCAAAGAGAAACAGCTAGACTGTGTTGATGTGAAAGTTCAGGTCGGCCTGGCCCACTGTTACTCCATGCCCCCTGTCAGCAGGCACCTGCTGCTTGGGGGGATGTCAGGCAGATGGGCTAAGCAGATGGCCACGTTGGAGTCTAAGGCATGCAAAGTTGTGCAGGTATGGAGGGCAAGCAAGAGGCATGCTAGAAGCTACTCATTTGCAGAAGTTTTACAAATTGTAATGACTGGTAATGATTAAAATGGCCTCGGATGGGGACCAGGCAGTATGATTTTGTAAAAGTTCCCAGGTATTTCTAACAAACAGCCAAGGTTGAGAACCATGACCGTGAGCATAGGAGACCCTTTAGACATGTTGGAAGATCTAACTCAGACTAAGATCCATCATCGTCTTCTGGACCAGGTACCTGGCTTCCCTACGCGGCCACGTGGCTGCCGTTTACCAGATTGCGTGGTCAGCTGACAGCCGGCTCCTGGTCAGCGGCAGCAGTGACAGCACACTGAAGGTGTGGGATGTGAAGGCCCAGAAGCTGGCCATGGACCTGCCCGGCCACGCGGATGAGGTAGGGCCAACCCTCGGGCAGAGGAGGGATTGGGATTGGATCCTGGCTGTCTCCCTCTCACCACCTCACCTGCCTTCCTCCTCTGCCTCCCTCCTCTGCCTCCCTGTAGGTATATGCTGTTGACTGGAGTCCAGATGGCCAGAGAGTGGCAAGTGGTGGGAAGGACAAATGCCTCCGGATGTGAGTGTGGGGGAGGTGGTGGTTGGCATGCTTGGCCCTCCTGACCCTAAGCCAGTCCCTCTTTGCACACTTTCCCTTATGGCATAGAATTCCACAGGGCCGTCTAGGTGCTCAGACTGTCCTGAGGAGGTGTGTGGAGCCAGGTTCTCAGTGGGCAGGTGGGAGGGCAACCGGAATAACAGAGGCCAAAGATACCCTCTTAGAGGGCACGTCCAGGTCTTTCTGTCACTGGACTTCAGAGTCCCAAGACACGAGTTCAAATCCTAGTTCTGCCAATGAGTAATTACAGAGAACTTGGTTAATCAGTCTCTTGGGAATTATCAAACCTTCGTAGACAGGATCAAAAATAGGAGGGTAAGCACTCTGGAAGCTAAAGTGTCATGTGCTTATAAGGGATTGTGACTGTTTGGTGGTGGGCATCCCAGGGGCCAGGCCCTGGGTGGAGGTCCTGGTGGCAGCAGACAGTGGGTGGGCAGCCTGAGTTTGGGTGGCCAGAGCAGAGACGGTCGCCCGGCTCTTGGTGACTCTGAGGGTGGACTACAGGCCATCTATCAGTTGACACTGGGATTATATGACAGCCTCCCTTTCCTGAGGTGGCATCTCCATCCTGACACCCTTCCCTTCTCCACAGATGGAGGAGATGAGAAGGCCTGCAGTTCTCTCTGACCCCCACCTGGACTCGGCCTCTGCCAGCCGCCTTTCCTTCCAGAGAACAAAGACTCGGGTGGCAGCGCACACACCCTTCCCACCAGTGGGGACCTGAGAATGCGCGTGGCCTGCTGTCCTCGACAGACCCGAGTGGGGTCTTCCCACAGATCCCCTGCTTGTGGCACACCCCAGAGCCAGAAATCGAAGGTCACAGGAAGTTGTCACCGAACTTGGCCTGTGTCTGCTACTCTATACCTTACTGGTACAGACGGGGGTGGTGGGCGGCCAGGCTCTGTGAGTGGGCTGCTAGTGTCAACTCTGTACAGGGTCAGACCCCAGGTTCTATGACCAAATAAATAACTTATGTTTTGTGTGTTGGGTTCTAATTCCTTGTCCTAGAATCCCCAGAACTCAATCAAGGACTGTGCTAAATCAGATTGTCCAGCCCCCTCCCTTGCACTGGACTACGCCAAAACCACACTGACCAGGCACTTGCCTTCCCTGTCTTCCCCCGTGTCGGTAAGAGAGAGGCCAGTCGTGATCGTGGCCAAGGAGAATCTAGGGCTGTATTGTTGTCCACTGCAGTAGGCACCGGCCATATGTGGCTGCTGGCATGAAATAGAAGTGCAGTTCCTCTGCCACACGGGGTAAGGCCTCCAGTATTGGATAGCACACGGAAAGGTTTTCGTCATTAAGAGGGTTCTGCTGGCCAGCCCTGCTCTAGGGGACACCTCTGCCTTCCCGTAGCACACTGCCTGAGGCCCTGCCAGGCACCAAGCACTTCCCTGGGCCCTCAGGATAGAGCGGGGAAGGTGATGGTTCTTCCAGAGGATTCCCTCAGATGGGGAGGCAGCAGTAAGCTCTGAGCCCAAGTGGGTATGGTTGATAACAGAGGATAGTTCTCTGCCACATGAGAACTTTCAAGTAATGAAAGGAATTCCCATCAGGACTCAGACCGCAGGCCGAGATCTTGCCCTGCATGCACCCTGCCTCCGCTTTCTCCTGCATCCCATGCTAAGCTGGGTCATGGTATGAACTACTCAGATTGGATTTCCAAACCATCCTTGTATAAACTGCTCAGAACTAGCATATTGCTCCTTCTTACCCTCCTCCACCCTTTGTGCTTTTGGGTTTTGCACGTCACCTAGCTGCGGTGCTTGGCCTCCATCTTGCACATCTCTGCAGTGAGGCTACATGAGAAGCGAACAAAGCTATCAGCCACTGAGCTCCTTGGTGTCAGGTGCTTGTCTGCTGTGCCCTCAGACTGTACCAGGCCTGGAAAGTTCTCAAGCCCCCAAACTTTTGATGAGGAAACACCACAAGAAGCTTAAATGATTAGCCCGCGTCCCCACGTCCAGTAAGAGGAAGAGCTGGGATTAAACCAGACCCTTCCCCAAAGCTTATCGTGCACTTTGTACCACATCCCTTCCTCCAGAGCTCAAGCTAGTTTGACAGCTCATGGGCCACCACTTCTGTCCATGACAGCTATTTCTGTGTTTTTCTGGTGTAAGAGGCTTTTAGTCTTACAGCACCAGTCTCCCTGCCCCTGTCCCCCGCCCCACTGGGGAAGGGGTGATGGCAGCATCCTATTGCCTAGCTGCCTGTTTTCCATCTCCCTACTCATGTAGAGTCCGTCCTGGTGGAAGCTAAGAGGTGGGTGACAGCCCATCTGAGGCTGTCTGCAGCATAAAGCAGATTTTAGGGTGCTAGATGGCCTGCAGTTCTTTAATGAGGGACCTGGACCCAGCCCAGATTTGTGGGAGGACGGAGTCTAGCAGCTGTGGGCAGTGGCTGAGCCTGGCATGGCCTGGCCTGGGATGTCTCCGGGTGAATGGGGCCCCTATCTATCTAGCCTTGGCCCCAGCCCAGGGGTGGGGTTCCCATACCACTCTGCCAGGCCCTTGGGCCTGCATGGTGCTGGTGGTACGGTAAGTCTTACAGTTCTGGTTCCTAAGGGCCCGGGGCCAAAGCTGAAAGTTGGTGAGGGGTGTCCTGGGGCCCTCCCTGTTAATAGGGAAATAGGTATTCCAGATCCTCCAGCCTCCGCATCTCCTCCAGCCCGATGGACACGATCTTTCGCTGGGGTTCCTTGCGCCGCACGGTGATCTGGATGGGGTTGTTCTCAGGAAAGCTGCTGAAGTCAGTGGCCAGGGTTGCAAACTGAAGTGAAATAAGAAAACCCTTCAGAATTCCTTCTGAGATCTGAGCCTGGCTCTCTATTACCTCCTTTTTTTTTCTGTCTGCTAACTCAGACCTGTTTTAAACAGCCTTATCCAACCTAGCCATTGATGCAGGAAACAGGTACAAAGATGCATGACTCAAGCCTGTGCCTCCTCAGTTATGGGATGTTTCCAACCAAAGGGCTGTCTCTACTCAGGCCTCTACACCCCCGTACCCCTACCTATACCCGGCTGTTCCCTTCTTCGTCCCCCTTTAGCCTCTTGTCTTGCCTGTTTCTTTCAATGCCCTTGACTTCCCAGCCTACTCACAATTATTGGCACTGAGTTGCAGAGTCTAAAAACCAATGGCTTTGGAAGGGGAACATTATAGTGATGTTGAAAAATACGTTCATTGAAAAATACAATGTTGAAAAATGCATTCCTAGTGGGCCCCAGAGTGGCTTAATCCGCAAACCTCCCAGAAGCATGCATCTTGGAATTGACGCTTCTTGACCCAGGCGGAAGGAAAGCTAGCCAGATGAGACATGTGGGTATGGGGGTGTTCCCAACCTCCAAAGCCCTGGTTCCCTGGTTTGGGACTTCTCTCCACCCCCAAGACCCCTCTTTTCCCAGGGCTCACTTTGTAGGGCTTGCACCACTTCCCCACCCCAGCTGTGTTGGCTGCACGGACAGTGAGGCAGTAACATGTGTTAGGCTTCAGCTCCATCAGCTTGACAGTGGTGCCCAAGATCTTGTTGAAGATCCATGGACGATTCTTTGCCTTGGGCAACTCATTCTCCTGTGTCTCGGCCGCCTCCTGCAACAGGACCTGGTAGAAACTGACCGGCTGCTTGCCCAAGGCGTAGGTCCAGGAAATCTAGGGGAAGAGAGAGCCCCAAGGCTTCCTCATATCTGTCCTGTCCTTCCTGTCCCCTCATCCTCCCAACTGGGGTCAGGATGTCCCACGCCCATCCCCTGCTCCTGCTGGGACCCAGGCAGGTCAGATGGAAGGTGCGAGGTACTGCAGCACTGAGTGTGGAAGCCCTGCCCCGCAGCATGTGCTACTCTCTTGGGCAGCCCCGCCCACTTTAGGGTGCACCCTCGTTCCATGTTTCTTCTACACCGGGGTTCCCAACCCTTGGGTCATGGACTGATAGCAGATATCCTGTGCAGAACTGGATAGCACAGCAGGAGGAGATCGGTGGGCGAGCAAGCGAAGCTTCATCTACATTACAGCTGCTCCCCACGGCTCACAGTACTGCCTGAGCTCCGCCTCCTGTCAGATCACACCAGCATTAGATTCTCACAGGCGAGTGAACCTATTGTGAATTGTATGGGAGGGATCTAAGTTGAATGCTCCTCATGAGAATCTAATACCTGATGATCTGTGACTGTCTCCCATCACCCCCAAATGGGACCCTCTCGTTGCAGGAAAATAAGCTCAGGGCTCCCACAGTTTCTACATTATGGTGAGTTGTATAATTATTTCATTATATATTACAATGTAATAATAATAGAAATAAAATACACAATAAATGTAATACGCTGAATCATCCTGAAACCATCCCCCCAACCTAATCCATGGAAAAATGATCTTCCATGAAACCAGTCCCTGGTGCCAAAAAGGTTGGGAACCGCTATTCTAGACTCTGTTAGCTGAGAGGGCCCTTAGAGATCTTCTTAACAACTAGGTCCAGAGAGGGCAAGTGACTGGTCCATCATCACACAGGAATTAAGTGACAGCCAGGGTTCAAACCCATAGCTCCAGAGCCTGTACACCTCGTACTACAATGGTTGCTAAGCCTGGTTAAACATCTCAGGGAGGTTTTATAACTGCAGATTTCTGGGCCTGCTGCCTCCTGTCTGGTTTCTCCTCCATCTAGGCCAGTGGTTATCAAACTTGGTGTGCATTAGAATACCCCAGAGGACTTATTAAAAGACAGATTGCTGGCCTCCGCCCCAAAAGTTTCTGAGTCAGGAGGCCCAAATGTGATGGAAGGAGATGAGAATTTAAATTTCTAACAATTTGCTGAGCGATGCTGACACTGTCCATCTGGAGAGCACTTTGAGAAACACTGCTCTGGGCCATCCAACAGTGGAATTCCAGGCATCTTCCCAAGATACAGCTCGAATTGCTTTCATCATCTGATGTGAAGCTTTGTACAAAGCTGTTCCCTGTTAGTTACAGAAAAATCTATACAGTATCCTAACAATGGAGTACTCTGGAAGATGACCCCAGACTAACATTCCCCATCCTGACCCCTGTCTTCACTTCCCATAGTGTAGGACGGTGTTGTTCGGCGTGTAGCCTGCAGACTGGCAGCACCAGCATCCTCTGCGAATCTGTTACTAATGCAAATTATCAGGCTTCACCCCAGACCCTCTAGGGAGGAGGCCTAGGAATCCCGAGGAGCCTCACTTGAACCAGGTCCTCATGCAGGGCTTCTCACGCTTTCCAATTCCTACAGATCACCTGCATCTTGTTCGAATTGAGACTTCCTCCCATACTTTCCTATGAGCTTTTGCTAGGGTCCGCCCCTCCAGGGAACGCTTTCCCTCCTCCACCTCTAGATGTTTACATGCTACCTCTGCTTCCCAGTCCAGATGTTACCAAAAGCCACCAGGCTTATTTCTGCACCTGGAAGTAATATATCTTTCCTCTGAAATCCTAGTGGCACTTCGCCTGAACTTTTCCTACAGCACTGAACACTTTCTGTCTTGCACTGGAGTTTTTACAGACACGTCCTCTCCCTTCCTAAACTATGAACTTGAGGTCGAGATGCAGGTGGCAGGCACCTTCTCACTACCCATGGAGCTCAGCTCAGTGCCTGGCACAATAAGCCTCTGCTGAACGCATGAGCAAGGGAAACGCACCACAGCTGTGGAATTGCTGACAGTGTGCTCGAAGATGAAGGGGGTGTCCGGCAGGTCCACAACCACAGAAGATTCCGAGTGCGTTGAGGAGGTTTCTGTCTCCAGCTCAGGGTTGTCAAGGTCCAGCAGGCCCCTCGTGGCCATTTGGCACTTAGATGGGCATGGGCAGGGGCCGAGGGCCAGGTCCTCCTTTTCTGTATTCTTGGCCATCGGGGAGAAGCTGAGTTTGTTCAGCTCCCCCTCCAGCATCCCTGCAAAGAAGCTGCTGTTGGGCTGGGTCACAGCTAATTTGATGGGGTTCAGCAAGGTGGATGAGAAGGCAGAGATGCTGGTATCATCAGAGCTGCAATCTGAATCATCCACTGGCATCGGCTTCCTGGAGCAAGAGGGGAGACAGGTGAGTCAGATGAAGGAGGCCACCCCAGCCCGTTCTACCTGAGGGCTCCTGAGGACAGGCCTTGGGCCTGACTTACCAGCATGTCCAGCCACTTGCAAACAGCTTGGAACAGCCTCATTGCTCTATAGCATTGCATTAGAGTCAGCAGGGCACTTACTAAAAATGCAGACTTTTAGTCTCTGGTCCCCAGTTAGCATGGGACTAGGGAATCTGCCTCTTTAATAAGATTCTGACTGGGCACGCCGGCTCACGCCTATAATCCCAGCACTTTGGGAGGCCAAGGCAGGCGGATTACTTGAGGTCAGGAGTTAGAGACCAGCCTGGCCAATGTGGTGAAACCCCGTCTCCACTAAAAACACAAAAATTAGCTGAGTGTGGTGGTGGACGCCTGTAATCCCAGCTACTTGGGAGTCTGAGGCAGAAGAATTGCTTGAACCCGGGGGGCGGAAGTTGCAGTGAGCCGAGATCGCACCACTGCACTCCAGCCTGGGCGACAAAGGGAAACTCTGTCTCAAAAAAAGAAAAAAAAAATCCTTAGAAAATCACAATTTAAAAAACATGCTAAAATGGCAAGTCCTCCCTCCAAATGCGCTGCAAATGCCCCAGGGAATAACCACAAAGATCTACTGGGGTATGGAAGTAATACATTCAATTTCATTAATATTTATTTA